CAGCACAGACACCTATGGCTCCCACAGCCCAAGAACCACCTGGCACAAGTGTGTTGTTGAAACGGAGTTGTTTCTGCCTGCAAACTGCCCACTGCTGCCGAGGGAGAGGCACCAGCAGAGCACCAGGAGCATCAGCCATCCAGCACCTCACACTGCATCAGTGCCAAAACTCCATTCCCCAAGGGCACAACAGGAGCCAGTCTCCAGGTCACTCCATGTGAAGCTGGGCCTCGTGCCTGGAGGTCACAAACCCTGCTGCTTGGTTTTGAACCTAACCTTGCCATTATGAACCCAAACGTCATGGTCCACCACGGTCGCTGTGTCAGGAGTACTTACACTTAGCCTGGTTTTTAAGCAGATTGGAAATGTTTCTGCCCGTGCAAATTTAATTTCACTGCTTTCTGCTCCCACAAATCTAATCTCCAAAGCTCTCTAACTGGATTTCAGCGAGTCTCTCAGGCTCCAGGATGGCTCAGTCTGACCAACTGCACACCATGGGACAGGGGACACTGTACTTCCCCACCACATACGTGATCTAATGAACCCATCGATGCCTGGCTGAAGCGGATCTTCTGTGCAAAGCACTAGGATCCTGTGTGAGACATCCCATCCCCTCCTGAGGCTTCTCCACGCAGCTCGCCTGTTGCAGCCCCGTTGCTGCCAGGCTGTATCCCATACGGGGGCCTGGAATTCAGCGTGGCCGTGGAGCAGTGGGAGCGGTGTGGGCTCGCAGCAGAGCTCCAGGAGCCCCGCAGATGGGGGCCGGGGCTGCTGTGAAGGAGGCGGACGGGTGGGGCTCCCCGCTGCAGTTTCGGGATCGGCCCGTGTGTGGGAAGCAGCAGTTTACCGGACCGAAATAAACTTTTTTTTTTCTCCTACAGCACCCAAAGCTGCTTCTCCCCGGTGCCAGAGGAGCTGGAGCAGCCTCTGGAGTGGAAGATGGGGCGATCTACACCGGAGAAGCAGCGAGGCCGCCCGGGAGAGAGATCAACACCCCCGGAGCGAGCACAGCACCGGGCAACCCCCACGCCGGACGGGGGAACCGAATGCCTGTGCTCAGCCCGCGCCGCCACCTCCCCGCTCCCCGCCAAGGCCGCGATGCCCCGGGAAGGACCGCCTCGGCCGAACCCCGGGGCGGCACCGCCGGGGCCCGCAGCCCGGGCCTGCCGCCCCGCCAGCTCCGGTGCCGCTCACCTTCGCGGGCCTTGAGCAGGACGGTGTTGGCGACGATGTTCTCCAGCTCCATGGGCCCGCGGGCGCCGCCGCCTCCCGCCGGCTCCGCTCCCCGCGCTCGGCCCGCGCCCGCCGCCCCCCGCCGCCGCCGCCGCGCCCCGCCCCCCGTGCCCCGCCCGACCAATGCAAGCCCTCGCTCCTCCCGCGCCGCGCTCTCATTGGCACGTCCACTCAGGAAGCCCCGCCCCCTCCGCAGCGCCACCGCCCTCCCGTTGGCCCTGTGAGGTGCGGCGGGAGGGGCGGAGCCAGGTGAGTGACGTCATCCAGCGGCCATCGGTAAAGCGCTGCCGGGACGAGGGAGCGGTCGCTGAGTGGAGGGCGAGATGTCACTCAGAGGGGGCGCCGCGAACTGATCGGGAGAGAGTTAATGGCGCCCACTTCAGGGAGCCCCGCCTCCCACGTCATCTGATTGGGTGTGGAGCTGCCACTCAGCTGCAGAACGAGTCGTAATAGGACGTTCTGTGGCGGGTGGGACTGAGCGGTTGCTTATAAATGAGCGCCTGGAAGCCCTGAGGGTGTCCCGGGATCGGTGGTGTCGCCGTTGTGGTGTCGTTCCGTCGGGCGTGGGTCTCTCCGAGGTGTCCTGCGCTCCCCTGTTGGAACCAGTTACGTGTTTAGGGGAGTCCTCCCCCATTTTTGCAGCCTCAATAAAGTCCGAGCAGCCACGCGTGTTTCCCCGGTGTCTCGGTCAATCCCGGTCCCGGGGTGGGTGAGCCAAGCTCCGGCGCTGTGCCCTGTCTCCGTGGTCACCTCTGCCGTGGAGGTTTGGGTTTTTCATCCCCCAGAGCAGCTGACCGTGACAGCTCTGTTCTGGTGTCTGAGCTCCCACCAGTTTCTTTCCACCAACTATTTGCTCTAAAACCCATTTTTTTAAGCTTATACCAACATTAGCGTCAGCATTACCCTATGTGAGGAAAAGCTGTGGTATGGGAACCTCTCCCCACCCGATGCGCAGCAAAGCAGTCGCTGGTTTCCCTGCACTGCTGGCCTGTACTGCAGCACCCCTTGATGACCTGTCAGCCCCTCAGATCACCTGCCCATCTCCCTGCCTCTCCTGGGCACAAAAACGCTCCTTAATCTACTTAAACCAAGTGGTGTCTGCCCTGGCTTTGAGTGAGGACATCACCTCTGCCTTCTCACGGCTTCTGTCTCTTGCTCCAGCCCATGGGAGATGTCTCCTTCCCAGTGGTTGGTGGCAGCAGGTGTGATGGTGCTGGCCATGGAGGAGGTGATGGGCAGGTCCCTTGACTGCTGTGTGTCAATGGCAGCCTGGGCCCATGGCAGGAGAGAAGGGTTCATGTAGTGAGGATGATGATAACACAAATTACTCTCAGCACTCACTGTCCATGCAGTTGGTACTGCCCGTGGCCGCTGTGCCCTTCAGCATCCACTGGAAATCAGATGTCATATCTTCAGGGTATGAATCTGCAGTGATTAGAAGGGGGAGGATGCTTTGCCCCACCACACCTTGGGGGTAATCTCTCTGTCACTCTGCCTGGAGGGATGAGCTCATGCTGTGAGAGCTCCTCTTTTAGAGCTGCTTTCCTTCCAAAGCTGGCACATGTTTATTTTGAACTTAAAATGAGATGACTGTTTCCATCCATTTCCAGCATTAACCCTTGGGTTGCTATTTTCTGTTTCCTCCCACCTGACGTTTTTCAGCACTGTTCCCATCACTGACAAGAGTCATGGACAACAGGAGGCTGCTGGAGCAGCACCAGTGTCCATAGGATCCTGATGTCCCCAACAGATCCAGCAGCAGCTCAGGTGGTGGAGCTGCCACTCTGCTTTTTAGCTCTGTGGAGGGGATGGCTGGAAAGGGAGAGGGCTCTGAACCCAAACTTGTTAGGGGAGTAATTCAAAACAATTTTAGGAAATTGAAGAAAAAGCCTGAAAATGCAGGATGCAATTCCAGGCACAGGTGCTGCAACTGGGCAGCAAAAATCAGCACCTCAAGGGGAGCCACTTTCCCTGTGGCACTGGAGTCACAGTGGCTCATGAACACAGCAGAAATAAAGGTCATGCTGTGGCAGATGAAACAGAGAAACAGACTTTGTACAAACTTGGAATAGAAATGGCTGCTGCAGGGATATGGAGTGACCTGCTCAACACATCTGCTCTCAATAGGCTGAAGTGCAGGATGGGGATGCAGTGGGAGATGCTCAGTGAGGGAGCTCTTCCAATCACTCCAGCTGGGTGAAGAGGGGGACCAGGCACTTCCAACACCTCATCCAGTGCTCAGGATTGGATGTTTCAGACATCAGCCTGAATCTCCCTTTGCTGACTCGGATTTTGCCCCAATATGTTGGTGTGGCCTTGCCCAAGCAGGGGGGACCCTGTGTGCCCCCTCCAGCTGTTTCCTGTCCCCTCCTGCCCTGCAGCATCCCAGAGCTGTGTGCTCATGCCAGGAGAACGGACAGTGCCTGGTACTCTGGCTGGGGCCCTGGGATGCTGCCACAGGGCTGGTGCCCCCCGGGAGAGCTGGCCTGGCCAGGTCCCCACTACTTGCCCTCATTTGGGTATTTTTAGAGGCAAAATGTTGTTTAGTTGTGAGAAAGAGAATGGCGGTCGCAGGAGGGGAAGCTGGGCAGCAGCGATAGGGCAGCTCCTTCCGCAGGCAATGCCTGTGCAGCTCCAACCACTGGGGCCAGACGCCTCCAGGAGTCAGCACTTGGGACCCATCCCAAGCCAATTCCACTGGGAACCTCTGCTGACTCCAAAGCTCACACCATGAGCCTCCCCACATGGGGCCAGCAGGCACTGTGATCCTCACCTGTGATCCCTCCTGGGGATCCTCACTGCTGCGAGTACCCACATCCCATCCAGCATCCCATCCCATCCAGCCCCCCCAGACCCCAGCTGAACTGCACCCACCCCGACAGGGGCTGGGGGGGCTGGCGGGGGCCAGTGTTCCTTGGGCTCCAGCTCCCAGGCGCCAGCGGCTGTTTTTAGCCCAGAAGAAAGTCCAATGTTTTGAGATTTTCTATTTTGAGCAGCAAAGCTGAAGAAGTGGAGCAGCCCCTGACCCCCGGGTGTCTGTGCAGAGCGATGCAGGCAGCCAGGCAGGGTGGGTGTGGGGCAGCTTCTGCCCCCCAAGGGGGATGCGGTTGCCCCCGGGTCTTCGCCCCACAGCTGCCTCTGTGGCCTCTTGCACGTCAGGCTGTGCCGGAGCCTGTTCCCATGCGATCCCATCTCTGACACTCTCCCAAGGGAGAACGGCCTTTCCGGCACTGAGATATCATTCCTCCTTTCCCTCCTGCAGCAAGATCCCAGTCCAGCCCCCGAGCAGGATGTGGGGTGTCCACACCAGACCTGCGACCCTCATTCCCCACCGTGGCTACGTGTGTGCCCTCACAGAGCCCCCGTGACATAGCACAGCTGGCACGTTCCCAGAGGGGACAGCCCCGGCAGAGAGGCTCAGACTGGGCTGCTGTGGTGGCACAGCCAGCTCAGCCCAGTGCTGGTGACGCTGCCACATGGAGGGTTTTGTCTCCTCGCAGCAGCTGTGGGGTCCATCCCCTGCACAAGAGAGTGCGGACATTCATCTGAGAGTGGGGAGGGCTGGTACTCACTGGAGCTGCCACAGCAAGTTGTCACCATCACTGCTGCAAGACCTACATGTGGGGTGATGCAGGTGACAAAAGGTGCTGGCAGCTGGTGCTGCTTTTTGGGCTCCCTGGAGGCAGATGCCAGCACCAGGCACAGGCTTTGGTCTCGTTTTATTCAGTCCAGCATTTCCAGAAGCACCTCAAGCTGCACACTGGCACTGCCATCCAAGCTCTGTGGTAGGGCCAGATGCTGTGAGCACTGAGCAGGGTTGGTTGGGGGCCACGTCCCCGGTGTCCCAACAGGTCCCTAAGAGCAGTGCCGGCGGGGGACGGCGAGGAGCCGGCGGAAGGCAGCACGGAAGTCCCGGTTGAAGAGGGTGTAGATGAGGGGGTTGACGCTGCTGTTGCAGTAGCCGATCCAAAAGAAGAAGTTGAAGAGGGGCTTGGACACGTGGCAGCCCTTTCCACAGAGAGCCCCCAGACTGTAGGTGAAGAAGAAGGGGAACCAGCACAGCACAAAGGCCCCCATCACCACAGCCAGCACGACGGTGAAGCGCCGCTCCCTTGCCCGCACCAGCCGGCGGCGGCACAGCAACACGCTCTGGTGCTGGCTCCGGCGCCTCCATCCCGGCATCCCAACTCCTGACACCTTTCCATCACCGCTGGAGGGGCGCGGGGAGCGGGCAGCGAGCAGGGCAGCTGCCCGCCGGGCAGTCAGGCGGTAGATGCGGCAGTAGACGGCGACCATGACGAGGCAGGGGACGAAGAAGGAGGCAGCGCAGGAGGCCAGCACGTACCAGGTCTCCTGGCTCAGCTGGCACTCCCTCCCGCCCGGCCATGGCCGCAGGAGTGGTGGCAGTGCCACCAGGGCCGCTGCCGCCCACACCGCCCCGATCATGGCCTTCACCCGCCGAGGGCTGCGGCGCAGGTTGAGCCGTGCCGCCCGTGTGACGGCCCAGTAGCGGTCGAGGCTGATGGCACAGAGGTGCCCGATGGACGCGGTGCAGAGCAGCACGTCCAGCGCCAGGTACAGGCTGCACCACAGCCCACCAAAGTACCAGTAGCCCATCACCTCGTTGGCCAGTGAGAAAGGCAGGACGAGGATGGCCACCAGGATGTCTGCCGAGGCCAGGGACACAAGGAAGAGGTTCTGTGGGGCTTGCAGAGCCCGGCTAGTGGAGATGGCCACTACCACCAGAGCGTTGCCCACCAGCGTGGCCAGCAGGACGGACAGGGCGGCCAGCAAGATGAGTCCCGTGGCTGCTGGTGAGTGTGGGGCGCTGCCGGCGCCGCTGCTGTTACTGGAGATGTTGGGAAGGGCGCTGGCTGGCTCCATGCTGGCCCGGCCCCTCAAGCAGATAAAGGCCCACGGGGCTTTCCCCCACCCTGCTCACCGGTCCCGAAGCGGCTGCGGCGCAGCCCCAGCATCGCTGAGTCCCCGGAGGGCTCTCCCGGCTGCCTGACTCCTTCACTGACCCGGTCTGGTGGCGAGGTCGTCCTGGCCCAGTGGTTGCCCGGCTGGGCATGCGGGACAGCGACGGTGCTGGGAAAACAGAGAGGCTCCCACGGCAGCGCTGCTGGCTCTGCTGGTCCCAGTCCGGAGGAGGGCGGGCGGGAAGGAGGGAAGGAGGGAAGGGTGGGCCGATATCATTGGCAGGAACCCAAACATCTGTGGGCAGTGGGAGAAGCTGTTATTGCCACTTAAAGGGCTCCTTTCAGGGTCGCCATGGTAGGAGGGCTCCAGCCACGGGTGCCAGGGTGCCCGGTGGTGCAGGGGCACTGCCCAACCATGCCGAGTCATTATCCTGCTGATCCCAGCCCAGCAGCACCACAGCAGCACCTTGCCTGGCTGCCCCGTGCTGTGCCTCGCTCACTGATATGCTGCTGTGGCACACAGTGAGGCACCATGGACCCCACCAGTTCAGCCCTTTGGGGATGAGGCAGGAGCCAGAAGATGCTGCCTGTGACAGCTCAGTACGGGTGGCTACAGACCTCAGGGTTCAGCTGTGGCATCATCACCATGTGTCCCGCAGCACGAGTGTTTGGTGTGCCCCCAGCACCAGCTGGGCTGAGCAATGGCGGTGGGTGGGAAACGGGGAGCCTGGTGGGTGTGGGGTACCTGTGACAGCAGGGTTTGCAGAGGGAGGACCCAAAGAGACACACACAGGGGCGTGGGCGCTCCCCCTTTATTAGAGCTGAGCAGGGACGGTGGGCACCAGCGGCCACAGGAGCAGCAGCCCTGTGTGTGCATTGCCAGCTAGAGCCGTGTGGCACCGTGCGGGAGAGGGCGAGGAGAGCCCACCCGCATGGTGGGGCTGGGCATCTCCTCGGGGTAGGAGAGGGCGGGGTTGTCCAGCCCCAGCCTGGCCTTGTCGCGGGGAGCGCCATCGTGCTCATCCCAGCCCTCGGGGCTGCGGCAGCGGTCGGTGCAGCACAGGGTGGCCTGGGTGATGACGCGGTCCAGCGGCTGCAGCGAGTGCATCCAGGCGGGGAGGAAATCCCAGGTCTGCAGCCACTTGGGCAGGCGCCCGGGGCTGTGTGCCTGCAGCGCGTTCACCAGCCCGACGAAGAAGAGGAGGCCGAGGAAGGGCGCGCCCACCCCCACCAGCGCCCGCCAGCCCGCCATGGAGATGCCGAAGATGAGGGAGGGCAGCAAGAGGAAGCAGATGATGAGGTACAGCACGGCAAACCAGCGGTACTTGGCCGTACGCTCGCCCAGCGCCTTGGCCATGCGGATGGGCAGGCGGGTGAAGGGCAGTGGGTACCACAGGAGGATGCCCGAGATGTTGAAGAAGAAGTGGCACAGAGCAATCTGCAAGGATGGCATCCCCATCAGGCCCCAGGGCACGTGGGCTTCCCCCAGCCCCAGCCCTGCCCAGTGACCCCGTCCAGCCCAGCCATGGCCCCCGGCTGACTGTACCTGGAAGGAGCTGGCCAGTTTGTCCCCTGGGCTGGCCAGGGCAGCCAGGATGGCAGTGGTGGTGGTGCCAATGTTTGAGCCCAGGGTCAATGGGTAGGCACGCTCAATGCTGATCACCCCCAGGCCTGTGGGAGAGGCACCCTGTCCATCCCATCGCTCCTGGCAGTGCCATCCCAAGAAGGCACAGCTCCTTTTGTCCCTCTGAGTGCTTTAGCACCCACAGGCCAGGGGATGGCACACAGCAGGGGATGAGGAATGGCCGGGACTCACCGATCAGGGGTGTGATGGCCGAGGTGAAGACAGAGCTGCTCTGCACCACAAAGGTCATCCCAGCACCCACCACCATGGCGAAGTACCCGGTGAGCCAGCTGAGCGGGTGTGGGAGGTCTGCCATGGCATGGCCATGGGCATGGACACAAACAGGGACATGGGCATGGACACATCAGGGCTGGGGGTCAGGGGCAGCCGGGGACAGGTCTGAGGATGGCAGGTGGAGATGGGCATGGGTGGCCATGTGGCATGTGGTCCCCATCCTACTCACCAGTGTTGATGACCTTCTGGATGGCTTTGGCCACCTGCCCCTTGAGCAGGGAGTTGAGGAGTTTGACCAGGAGGATGAGGCAGGTGCAGAGCACGACAAGGGACCCGGCCAGCAGCACCAGCCCCACGGCCAGGTCAGGCAGTGGTGTGTCGGTGAAGAGGTGCTCACCTGCCCCACAGCACGGCTGGGCAAGGGGCTGGGGCTGGCCCGGCCCCGCTCACAAACCTGCCCCCACAGACAGCCCCACACCTGGACCCCAGCGCAGCATCTCCCAGCCCTGCCCCACATCATGACTCCAGCACTTCTCCATCACGTGTACAACCCCCAGCCCTTCTCACACCTTCCCAGCCCCATGCTCTGTGCCACAGCCCTGCCCAAGCCCTCCACACCCACTCACACTTCTGCCTGGTGACGTTGTGGAGGACCTCGATGCCCTTAGTGCTGCAATGGCTGGGGGATGTGCAGTTTGGGGGGGTCCCAGGCCCTGCAGTGGCGATCTGCAGGGAGAAGGTAGGCTACAGCTGGCTGCAGCATCCTCAGCCTGCCCTTGCCCACCACCCATCCTCTGTGGGATTGTTTGGTGGCCCCAGCAGGGCCACAGGCCCCTCACCTGTGGAGATGCAGGGCCACACCAGACGCGGATGAGGCTCCGGTTGCGCAGGCTCTCGTCCCCTGTCGCGATGCCCGTGATCACAGACTTGTCCAGCTGCAACAACACACATGTTGGAGAGGGCTAACAGCACCCACAGGCTGGGGACATCTTCACTGGCATGGGGACACCAGTGTCAGCCTGGGGACACTTGGATACAGCTGCCATCAAAGGGACACCGGTGCTGGGGACATCACCACCAGGCAGTGGCATACTACGCTGGCAAACATAACAGATGAGGAGACCTGGATGATGAGCTTGGTGAAGGGCTCTGTGATGATCTTCAGCAGGTCAGGGGCATCTTTCCCGCTGCGGATGTTGAATGTGGCCACAACCAGGCGGGTGATGTGGTGCAGGTACCCACTCACCACCTCCAGTGGCAGCAGTACCAGCACTGAGAGCCAGTTGAAGCAGTCGTGCACCGTGGCACCGGCGAAGGCCCTGTGCAGAATGGAGGAGCCCGTTGGCATGAGGTGGTCCTGAGGGGGAGCCCCCAGCCTCAGAAGTGTCCTCTGACCCATCCAGCTCTCACCGTTTGAACTCACTGCGGTCACCAGCCTGCATGAGGGCCACGATGGTGTTGGTGACCGAGGTGCCGATGTTGGAGCCCATGATGATGGGGATGGCAGAGCGCACCTCCAGCACTGGGGACAGAGAGACGTGCTAGCCTTGTATGGCCCGGCTCAGGGTGACCTCATCCATCCATCCTCTCCCTCAGCCTCAGGTCCCCAGGAGCCTCTTGGGCACACTCACACCCTGAGGAGACCATGCTGACGATGATGGAGGTGGAGGTGGAGGAGCTCTGCACCAGCACGGTCACAAGGATGCCCACCACCAACCCTGCCACTGGATTGGAGAGGATGGCGTTGTCCTTGAAAATGTCCCCCGCCACCTTGCCTGTAAGAGAATGTGAGCACAGGCTGCTGGCACTGCCAGTGCCACCAGGTTCCCAGGCATCCCTGCCACCCTGCTACCTCCAGCCAGCTGGAAGGCAGAGCTGAGCACGTCCAGAGAGCACACGAAGAGGTACAGGAACCCAAACATCAGGGGCACCTTTAGAAGGGAGACACAGAAGGACTGGACCCTGGCCCAGCACCCGAGCTCTGTGCAAGACAAGAGAAAGTGTTAAACTCCTGCTATGGCATGGTCCTGGCTCCCCAGGCTCCTACAGCCTTATGCCACTCTCATGGTTCTTGGCAGCACAGGTCCCAGGGTTCCCTCCATCTCCTCCCACCCTGGAGTGCCTTGTGCCAGCTCCCCCATTGTCCTCAGCTCTTCCCACATCACCCCAGGACACTGAGGGTCTCTCCACCAGCACTCCCCTCCCATCCTGGCACCCCACAGTCCTGGCACCCAAGTACCCCAGGTGCCTCTGTCAGATCTCTGGGGTGTTCCCTAGCCCAGGTGCTGCGAGGCCCCCACCACCTCCCCAGGTCTCACCTGGCCTCTGCAGCTCATCCAAGCCCAGTCGGTGCCCCTGCCAGGACAGCGCGTCCAGCTCGTACCGCTCCCGGCCCTCGCGCAGGCGCCCCGGGGAGCCGGGGCAGGGGAAGCCATGGTCAGGGCAAGGCACAGCACTGACGGTGAAGGGGCAGGTGTGGGCACCCGGCAGCCGGTGCAGAGCTGGGGAGAGAGGGCACCTATGTCACAGCCCCGTCCTTGCAGGGACCTCCCTGCAGAGGAGAGCCCAGCACTGCCAGAAGCAGAGCTGGGCCAGGTGAGGAAGAGGAGGAGGAAGAGGTGCCTACCTTGGGGGCTGGGGCAGTAGGCGAACTGTGGCCCATGCACAACCCTTCCTCCTCTCACCGGGCAGCGACCGGGCAGGACCGGGCTCTCCGTCCGGTAGGGCAGCATCGTTCCTGCTGAGGCTGAACAGATGTGGCCGCATGTCACAACAGCTGTGCTGCACCCACT